GGCAGCACGGTGGCGCAACTGGTAGAGCTGCTGCCTCTCAGCGAACAGGTCCCTGGTTCAAACCCCAGTCCAGGGGCCTTTCTGGGTGGAGTTTGCATGTTCTCTCCGTGCATGCGTGGGTTTTCTCCGGTTACTCCGGTTTCCTCCCACAGACCAAAAACATGCATGTTAGGCTGATTGGTAACTCTAAATTGTCCCTAGGTGTGAGTGAGAGAGTGAATGGTTGTTTGTCTCGTTTGTCTCTATGTGGCCCTGTGATGGACTTGCGACCCGTCCAGGGTGTACCCCGCCCCTCGCACAGTGATTGCTGGACATGGGCACCAGCGACCCCGTGACCCAAAATGGAATAAATGGGTAAAGATAATGGATGGATGGATGGATGGATGGATAATAAAAAAAGAGCTCAAGCACCCCTAAATTTGAACTCAAAACCCCTGAAAAGTAAAGTAAAAAAATGTTAGTTTGTTTTGGGCAGTTCTGGGTTTGTGTTTTAGGTTCTGTTTATTGCATTAACGATTCAATGCAACAAAATAAACAAATTTAAAATTGTAATACTTGGTTTATTTACATAATGACTTCAGTCGCTGGATGTCCGGCCCCTGAGCTGCTGGCTTTCAGAAACTGTGGCTCCCTGAGCAGGTTAGTTGAAAAGCGCTGCTTTAGAGGGTGGAATACAGTTTATTCCATTTCCAAAACCGAAACTGAGTTTGGAAAAATGTAAAAGATGGATAAAGCCCTGCGGCCAAACTCATGTGTAATGTAAAGCAGAGCGCTATGCTAGTATCTTAGCTAGCATGTCTGTATTGCAAACTGCTAGCTTAGCGCTACTTCTTGTTGTGTCATGCTCTAAAATAGTTACTGAATCAAGTGTTTATTTATGTAGATAAACATAATGTTTAAAAGCCTGTTAAAATATACCAGAATGCAGGAAATGGCATTTATATTAAAATTTTTCTGGGATCTCCAGACACATAACTACTCCCCCCCAAAAAGTGCAAAGGGCTAAGCCCCCCTAAAGGTTAAATTTTAGAATCGCCCCTGCATACCTGCATTCTTTTGTCAAATCTTGGAAGTAGTAATATGCACAATTTTACGCAATATGACAACATGCCACAGTTAGAGTATGTGTTGGGAATGACTCTCAGCTACTACCACACCAAACTTGAGCTCAATAAACAAAATAGTTATCTTTTGTGTTTTCCAAGGTTGATTATCTCTGGTGGCCATTTTAAACCAGTTGTAGATGTTTATAGCTTACGATCACTTTATGAGTTTCATTAAAATATCTCCAGTGGTTCATGAGAAATTTTGCTAACACTTCAAACAACTGAACACACAGACAAAACACCACTTTGTGCCAGCGATAGGTAATAGGTGCAGTAACTGGAGCAGAAAAAAACATGTTAGCATCTATTAAATAAAAAATAAAAAAATCATGCAGTCGTACAAAAATTAGCGACAAAGTGTGGGTTTTGACTTTCAGCCTCATTTATTTAAAGCAGTAACTTCATAAACCAGAGCAAAGACCAAGTCGCCACATGGAGCATTATAAAACAACAAACAGAAATCTGTCCTGCGTGCAGGTGCTTTTATTAAACTGACGGCGTTGGTGACGGTGCAACCCGCTGACACGTTACAGCAAACAGAAAAAGTTCAAATGCAAACATCTCAATGTTCATGGGTGAAAAGAGCAACATAAGCAGAATATGATTTAAAAAAATGTATTTACAAAGACAAAAAAATATATATTTCCTCTTAACATTTTCTCAGCATTTAAAGCAACTTGAAATAAAAACCAAGCTTGTATTATAACATCCCTGCAGCACGAGGATTTATGAAAAACGAGTTTACAGCAGAAATTTGTGGAACTATTTGAAACACGAAGCGTTTGATATTAAAACAATTAGAAATGCGGATAAAATACACTTTTTAACAAATATACAAGACTCCTTTTTATGCACACGAAGCTGCTTCAGTGTCGCTGTGAGACAAAAGCGACGCGTCTGACGTTCAAGTCGAACCGACAGCTGAATGAAACTTCGGGATTAAAACCTTCTCGTGGTGTTACTGAATCTCCAGGTCGATACTTCGTGGTCATTTTCACCAAGACGTATTTTATTTTGCTGTTTTTAGTGAATAGGCATACTTTAACAGGATTTAGCTGCCCTGTAGATGTGTACACACTGTAACAATCCTTATTTATGTCATATTTCATATACTTCTGCTTGAAATACACAGTTCGTGTTGGAGCAACAGTTGTCTGAATTTCACATCAACTGGTCACGTGAAATATCACCAACAAAAATGGTCAAGAGAAAATTTCCATATACCATAAAAATACTCCTCAAAAGCAAAATAATACTTTACATGCAGAAAAAGCTTTGCCGTTACTTTATAAAGCTGTCAAGTGATTGACACATTTACCTGTAAAGGCTTGAAATCAATTTTTTTTTTAGGAAATAAGTATTTAAAAACACATCCTCTGATAAACCACTTCATGTTAGCAGCTCTTTTTGCTGTTTCAGAGAACTTCTCCGGATAAAAACTAGGGATGCACGATATCATCGGCATGGTATCGGTATCGACCGATATTAGCGATAAAGTTAAATATCGGACATCGGCCATTCCATCAAAATATCTCATATATAAAAGGTGCCATTTTTGTAGATAATTCAGTGACAAGGATGCCTGCAGCGCCAGCACGTTATGACGTCACACGCGCCGTTGGATTTAGATTTGTGAAAATTTACAAATTTGCACTGTTCAAGTGTTGTCACTGTGTTGGAGAGTAAATGTCATGAATAAATTTGACATTAAACATAATCCAAGATATGTTACATCATTTTCAGCCCCCTTTTTTGGCATCTGCATTTAGTAGCAGGCCAAACTGCCAGAGACCATGCAGAATAATGTAGTAGTTTAATTCCACAGCAGAGAAAAGTATGTGGTCTCTGTAAGTAGGTCTAAGGGGGAAAATATCGGTAGTGGTATCGGTTAACGACCAAATAAGTTTTAACATATCGGCCAAAAATCCAATATTGTGCATCCCTAATTAAAACACCACCAATGGTCTTAATCTTTTGTAAAATTGTGTCATCACTCAGCAAGAAGACAAAACCATCAACGCCTCAACAAATATATACAATGAGCGCACTCATAAAAGAGCTGCATACCTCGTTTTCAGTGGATTTCTCTGATTTCTGCATAAAACATTCAGAGTTGGGCTGTAAATCAGTAACTAAACGCACTTTTTAAACGCAAACGTTAGAATTTTTGGATGCGGTCTGAAACCGTGAACATAATCCTCAACTTCATCTCCAATAAAGAAAACTTGACCTTGAACTTTTGAGACCTAAATGTGTTTTTTGTAAACAAAAAAAAACTTTAAAAATGTTCAGCGCTTCCGGCTCTTTGAGCAGCGGCACGTTCAAAACTTTAAATACACGACAGAAGCTCCCGTTCACTCACGATTCCTCCTCCCCGTCTGCGGTTGGGTTTTGTGTGTTGTGGAGAAAAGCCTCCTTCTCTGTGGTCATGGGCTCTCCTTTTATCAAGCAGGTGGGCGTGTTGGGATCAGAGCTGCTCACCGCCTCGGCGCTGTTCCAGATCCCATAACCAAAGTAGATGAAGAAACCTGTGGTTCGTTAGAAGACGTTAAAGATCAGCTCCTTTTGAGCATCCCGGGTACAGATGACTGAGTGTTGTTGGTTAGTAAAAGTACCTAGGACCATCCAGATGGAAAAGCGCAGCCACGTTCCTCTGTTGAGCTGCATCATCAGGTAGACATTGACAAACATGCTGACAACCGGGACAAAAGGCAACAAAGGAACCTGAGGAGAGAGAGAGATTTAAAAAGATTAAACCTTTTATTACAAGTTAAAATCCAAGATGGCCACCACCATACTATGCTTTCTACTTTTTATATTGCTTCAAAGATATACCATATTTTTTGCCATATCAGTCGCATCTTTTTGCATAAATTTGCAAGTCCTGCGACTTCTACACCAAAGCAACTTATTTATGTTTTTCTCCATATTTATAGTCCAAGTTTTGGCTGAGATCTGACGATTTCATTGATTCTGACATGGCCAAGATTAAACACTACCATCTGCAGCCACTAGAGGGCCCTCGAGCCATATGGCAAGCCAAGTGTCTCATTAATAGGTCAAAGTGGCTATTAATGAGACACTTGGCTTGTCACAACCAGCAAGCTTTGTCTCGCTACAGAACTCTTGGAACAAACATCAAATCAGCTGCATTTCGCCTGGGTGGCGAAATGCAGCTGATTTGATCATTAAAGTGCATTTATTAAGGAAAAGATAAACTGAGACACACCTTTGCTATAATTTCGAGCAAATAATTGTTTTTAAGTGTTAATCTTGTTAAATTCTTGTTAAAGTCCTCCCATGCACGCTTCCGTGGCCGCCATTTGGCAGCCAAACGATTTTTAACACAACACCGGCCCAAATTTCCGGGTGGTCAGCGGTGACGCTTAATAGACTCGACTTATACAACAAAGCGACGTATTTATATTTTTTTCCACTTTATTAAGCATATTTGGACTGATGCAACTTATACGGTGGAAAGTACGGTACTTTCCTTAAATGATTGGTCTTACCTGTGTGGTGGTTGAAAATAAGTGGCCAAGGCCACCATTGGCTGACCCCGGCTCCACCATTGCGCCGGCTCATGGATAATATTGCTCCTTCCACTCGCCAGGATCCGTCACTATTCTACTCCCTCAACGACGGGGGACTTCAGCGTGTCGCTGGTTACGTTTATGTAGAGTTCATGTGTAGCTGTTGGGTTGTAAATATGGTGATTTGTTCTAGCTACAGTTATAGCACGTCTGATGCTAATTTTATTTAGATTTTGCTATTTGCTGATGTTTGAAAACAACAACGGCCAAAAAAAAAAAAAAATACACTCAAGCACACAATGTAAAGTATTGATATTTGAAAAAGTATCTATTAGATTCTGACCCCCCCGCCCCCCCCATCATTAATGGGAGTAAAAACATGCAAGAAAACTGACTGAAAGTGCAAACTCACCTTGAAGGCCAGCTTAGCTTTGCTCTGAGGCTGCCTGAACACGCAGAATGTGAGAAACGAGCAGACCACAGCGATGACACAGAGGACTGACACGGACCAGGGTGCACACCCTCCTTGGACGGCTACAACACTGAAAACACACACCAGAACACCTGGGGTGGGGTGGGGGGGAAACAAGACGATGAGCCGGATACCTTCATTCAGTTTGCTCCGAGCACCGTGAGAGTCTCACCGAGAACACTGGTACAGATGTTGACGACACGCCCAGACAGAGGAGACGGTTCACTGCTCGAAGGGGAAACAAGGTTCTTGATGCTGAACTGATGCTCTGATGGAGGTAAGATGTCAGAGTTGCCCTCGCTGTAAGACTCAGCGTTATCAGGGCTGTCCTGAATGTTGGCCATCTCGTAGGCCCGGCTCGGCTGCACGGGCTGGTACCTAGCGAGGGCAGAACAGTCAAAAGTCCTCCTCAATTATAGGTTAAAAACACATTTAAAATGTATTATCGCCCGCCGCCAAAAGGCAAATGCGGGCAATCATGTTTTTGCTTACGTCTGTGTGAATGCAGATGGGTTTTATGAGCCCGACTTTAACCAAAATGTTTCATAAACCAATGGACAAGATTTAATGAAACTTGCAGAAAAAAACCACTGGATGCACATCTGCAATTGATTCAGTTTGGGAATCAGCCCAATTCAAGATGGCTTTCTGGAAAATTCTTCTCCAGATGGTCATCACAGCTAATCAGCATTATTAGCCAACAGACAAATTCAGTCATTTTTACAAAATAAAATTAAAGTTTGATGAGGTAGTAGCTGAGAGTCATTCCCTACAGAGATTTTAAGTGTGACCATGTTACTACACGGTACTTGCACTGCATTACAATTTTTCAAGGTTTGACTAAAATGGCTTTAACTCATTTGTCAGCAGAATATGTTAGTCTAAAACTCCGGCATAAAAGCTGAAGGGCAATAAGCATTCCATTCAAGGAATTCTAAGTTTAAGATTTCACCATGTTTGGTTACTTTTGATGGATTTAGCAGATGTGTCTATTGAATAGAGTACATAATGTTGGATCAGCTTGGTCAAGAAACACACAATGAGAAAAGAAGGCTACCTGAGGACCAGAACACAGGCGGCCACCAGAGTGTAGGCCAGCAAAGTGCCGATAGACATGAGGTCAACCAGGTCCTTCAGGTCAAACAGTAAAGCCATCACAGCTGCAGGGAACAGCAGGAGGAGAGAATGTCACATCAGATAAACACAGTTTACATGCATGAATTCCACCCCCCCACCCCCGCCCACAATAAAATTAAAGTAACTGTTAAACTTGTGCTGAACAGTTGAGAATGTTACAACTACCATCCTCCTTCCACTAGGGGACACTGTTGCCTTTGGCTTCATCTCAGCTACCTACCAAGGTGGAGACTACAGTCTCTTCCTGTCACTGACACGAGCCAGAAACGAGAAGATCAGGCTTCACGTCACGAGCCACAGCAAAGATAATGTGTGGCAGCAGAAACATGGAGCCATGGAGACTGAGCCAAGGAGGAGAGTTACAACCTGAAGTCACTGATAGTCCCACACAAGACCTCAACAATTCTCAGCCCAACATCCTTTGTTGCTATTTTTCTGCTGCTTTACAGGTCTGATGTCGAGGTCATGTGGGCCAAAAGTCCTAATGGATCCTGAAGGAAACTTCAGCCCATTAGTGGGTTTAGGTTGTGGCCTCACCTGCAACAGCACCAGATGTTATTGTAGCTGTTAGCGGGGTTTTGGTTCGAGGGCTGATTTTAGCCAAGCATTTGAAGAGTAGGCCATCCTCCGCCATGGCCCAGATCACCCTCGGCATTGGGAACATGGAGCCCAGTAAACTAATACAGGAGAGGGAGAGAAGAGTATGCCATACCAATAAGTACACACAGTTAGGATAAACACTGAGAACAGGTGAGTGTCTGGGGAAAAAAAAATCACAAGCATGTCACTACATAAGATTACTATGTATATCTATGTACTAAAACAGTCACTTGAAGTTTTTATGCCAAAAGATGCTGAATTGCTTGGAGGTTTAGAGTCCTGCAGTTAAATTAAGACGTATTTGTAGCTTACTCTGGTTTTTATATTTTACTTTTTCAGACACAAACTGCACCATATTTTCATTTAACAAAAGTTGAGAAGATGAACGTGCTACTCAATTTTGGTTCTGCGGTTGCAAAATTCTAGAAAACGGGTTCTGAACCCAGACAGAACCCCTGATCTAATTGACATTGTTGGTGCACAAGTATTTTACAAAAAAAAAAAAACATACTTCATCTGGGTAATATAATGTGCCATACTTGTTGCAACTTCAAACAGTTTTAACTTATCTACCTAAAAGCAAGTAAAATGCAGCAAGCTTGGAATGAATAATTCAGTTCTAAAGATTCCTGCTAGCAATGACATGCCCTCTGTGACTTCTCATGCTGAGAGCAGTAGGAGACCCACTTACCTGGTCGACAAAGCACACAAAGAGCCAATGGACACCGCATAAGTGGCTCCCTCCCAGCCTACACGCTTAAAGGCCATCGGAATAGGGCTGTTCTTATCCAGCAAGTAGTAGGGCATCATCACAGTGAGGGCTGCCGACACGCCGAAGTAAGCCACAAAACAAATGAGGAGAGAGGCCACGATGCCGATAGGAATGGCCCTCTGGGGATTCTTCACCTCCTCTCCTGAGTGGAGAACAAAAATTGGAAGTGTCAGATGTGTCAGGTGTGTCGGATGATCATTATTCATTTCGTGTTTTAACTCTCACCTGTAGTGGCGATGCAGTCAAACCCTACGAAGGCATAGAAACAAGTGGCGGCACCAGAAAGGACCCCAGTCCAGCCAAAGGGCATAAAACCACCTTTACCAAGAGTTTCTTCATTTTCAAAGGCGTATGACTGACTAGTAAAGTGAAAAGAACATAACATTTTCTTATGTTAAATTCACCTCATCTTTAGGGACAATGCATGTTTTGGAAGACAGAGCTTAATGTCACTCACTTTAAGCTGGAGTTTCTGCTGATGTTAAGGATTTCCTTGGGATTCAAGTTCCAGTTTTTTAGGTTTCCTTTAACCATTCCAGCAATGACCACAAACAGCAGCACCACGATGTTGATGCAAGTAAACACTTTGTTTACCAAGGCCGACTCTTTGACCCCAAATATAAGCAGCCCTGCAAATAATCACAGAAAATATAAGAAAACACGGACACACACAAAAACACAAAGTAAACCACTGAAAAAATACATCTTGCGTGTTCCTGACCTGTCAGACTGAGTATGATGATGACAGCAAAGATGTCTGGGTACTCTGCCAGGACTCCCGGTGCGTTCATGGTCATGTATTGCCGGAAAAATGTCTTATTGTGGTTTCCAATCAGCTCTTCAAAAGTGGCGCTCCATGCCCTGGCCACACTTGATGTTCCTGTGCAAAGAAAAATCCTGATGTGAGCCTTAAGTATCACAATTGTTTTAAAAAAAATCCTGTTATTTCAATTCTCCCACCTATGATATAAGAGAGAATGAGGTTCCAGCCAGTGATGAAGGCCCAAAGTTCTCCAACTGTCACATAGCTGTAGAGGTAAGCCGAACCAGTTCTGGGAACACGAGCTCCGAATTCTGCGTAGCACAACCCGGCTAATACAGACGCCAGGGCAGCGATGAGAAACGAGAGGACGATGGCAGGTCCAGAAGTATATCGAGCAACAGCACCAGCCAGAACGTAGACGCCGGCTCCCAGCGTGCTGCCGACCCCCAGAGCCACCAGGTCGAGCGTGTTGAGGCATCGGGACAAGCGGGACTCATCCGTGCTGTAGTCCACAACCTTCACTCGCAGGAGCTGCTTCCCGAATTCTTTTAATGTCGTCAGAATCATTTTTCCCCTGGAACTCTGCACATGAACAGCAAAAAATACCTGTTGACACAACAATGCGGAAAGAATGTTGATTACTGTGCTTTGGCTGATACAGGCTAATCCAGATTTGTCACGCCAAGTGAACACAGTTCATGTGATGCCATTATTTACTAGTGCGTTTCATTTTCTGTGGACCTTCCAGGGCTACACAGGTAGAAGCTACTTTTGGGTACAAAACTACTATAATGCATCAAGATTTATTTTGGGGAGGAAAGTCTAATACAACTTTTAAATTAAAGAATGCACATTTGAGAAATTGTGTTTGGTTAATTATTTCTTTGTTGCTGTAATGTTTCATGGCAATACATCGTATACCATTGGAAAGCCAGTAGGGATGCACGATACTGGATTTTTGGCCGATATGCCGATATGTTAAAACTTATTTGGCCGATAACCGATACCAATATTTTATATACTTTCCTTTGTCAGAACATGGCCCTCTTATTTAGGCTTATTTGCTACAAAAATTGTGCAACAGCTGTAAGAGCTGGAGACATATATTCAGTAACAGCCATATGATATGCATAACACTTTAACTTATATTAAATTAATTAGCATTAGTCACCTGCAATGCTGTCTCACATGTGGAGGCTTGTTCCAGGTTCCTAGCTGCAGTGTGGGATCCTCTGCACTCTTGTGCATGAAAGACAGCCTTTTTAAGTTCAAAGTTTTTGTCTATCCATTGTGCTGTAAGACTAATCATGCTAACGGGGCTAACACGACGTCCAAATGTCTGTGGTAAAACTCACCCAAGTGCTATCGGATATTAGCTTCTCAATGACTTCGGAAATGACAACTTGTAACTTTGGTAAGGCTATGTCGGGAAAATACCTCAGACTGGGGACGATGTAGCGAGGCTCAATGTAGTCCAAAAATCTACCAATACCAATATCATACCGATAATATTGTGCATCCGTAAAAGCCAGATAGTCCTTTAATGTTGTCTTTTAGCAAAATATCACATGAACCAGTGGACAGATTTTAATGAAACTTTCTGCAAGTAATCACTGGATGTACATTTACAAGTGACTGGTTTTTGGAGTCAACCTGACTCAAGATGGCTGCCACAGGCAGTAGACCGTAGAAAACACAAAAGTGTCTATAACTTCCTCAGTTTTAAAGATATTGAGTTAAATTTTGGTGTCATAGTAGCTGAAAATCCTCCACAACGCACATCTTTGAGTATACCTTTTGGCATGCTAGGTGAAGGGTGATATGCATTCAATCAACACAAAATCTGTTCTTCAAATTAGATTTCTGTTTTGCTTGTAAGTTTAAAGCACAAGCTGCAGCTTAAATCCATTTCTTCTGTATGCTTCAAACAACTTGATAGTTACCAACGTTGTAGACAAAATACTAAATAATATGTAAATAGGTTGCATTAACAACTTGCCATTTATGTTTAATCAAAGTGTTAACGGTCAAGATATTGGATGCTATTGTGGGAATAAAGGTAATGCTGGTTGTCACGTAAGCTCAGCAATCATTTACATTATCGCGACTCAATGAGACTAACCTGTATAAATAAAGGTTGGATGAATGAATAACAAGCATCTTCGTATATTTGCAGAAATGATAACTAACTTACAGTCTTGACAACAGATTTAGCTTCAAAACCTCTAAAACAGCAGCAACAGATGTGAATCAGTCCAGTGATGTGAGGAAATACTCACTTTGACAGGACAACACAGGGTCCTCAATCCTTCACTGACGAGCTCAGTATCTCTGCTTTTAGTTCAGTTTAATTTTAGTTTCCCCACAAAACGTTGTCCTGTAGATTGTTGACGACCGAAACATCTGCTTTGGGTGACGGGAAATGGGACAGACATTTATGAGTGGTGGGCTTGATTTGCCACACACATGCCTCTGTGAACAAACCTTTCAGGTATTTGGTTCACAAATAGAACAGTGACCCATCATGTGACCTCAGACGCAGTTGTGACTGTATGAACAACACCCCCCCCCCCCCCCCCCCCCGACCATGCCAAGTAACCTAAATATAAAGAAAATAAAGACTTGATTGTATGTTATCCTAATCTTTTGCCAGAGAAAAATAATTATTTTCAATAAACCATAGGTCAGAAGGTTTGAGTGTGTTCTTCTTACTTAAATACTTATAGATTTAACAAATTTCAGTTGTGAGTCCAGGTCACGATGATCTGCTGCTGTGACCAAAATGTAGAAGCCAAAACAAACAAAGTGAAAATGCAAATCTCTGGGACTAAAAAGGAAAAGCAAAGGAAAAGGAGTTCTTCTCGCATTTGCCCAAAGTTGGACACAAAAGAATGCGTCCTGGTTTGTTGATGAAAGGGGATCGTGAACTATATCAAGAACCAGGAAGAACAAGGAAATGAGAATCAGAGCTTCAGCGTTAAGAGCAGAGAAGAACATCAGAATGAACATGGTGTGACAGGACCCGGTTGAGCTTAAACCAGAGGGTGGGCAGGATGGAGCCCCTCCTCTCAGCCAATCACAGAGCTCCACACCTGCTCATGACTCACCTGGGCAGGGGAAGAGATTGGAGTAGCAGTGAGTCACATGATCTTTCCAGTTTGCCAGTGAGAAAAAAAAACCTGCTTCTTCAAATGGCCTTGATATCAGCAGTGAATTGTTTAATACACACGTGTCACAGTCGGACCTTGAATTATAAACATTTTCTGTGAAAATTCAGCGTTGTTGCAAAGTGCTGAATGACCTTACTGAAGCTGAAACTGAGTTCAGGTAAAAGCAACGTAAAGAGAAGCTAAAAGGAGCTAAACTATAGCTAACAAGAGCACCACATTCAGCAGATTATATGCCCGTTAACAAATAGCAATAGCAACGGCCTTGTTTGAACTTTGACCATGAATTTTGTCCTTGACCATGAAACCGATGAAAAGTTATACAGCACTCCATCTAGTGATGATTCACATGTGTATCAAGTTGCAATATATTATCTTGAGCGGATCAAAAATAAAGGTCCAGACAAGCATTTATCTTGTCTTAACTTTGACCATGAATTATGACCTTGACCATGAAGCTGATGAAAAGTTAGGCAACTCTTTATCAAGTGGTGATTCACGCGTGTATCAAGTTTCAATATATTATCTTGAGCGGATCAGAAGTAAAGGTCCAGACAAGCAAAGATCTTGTCTTAACTTTGACCTTGAATTGTGACCTTGACCATGAAGCTGATGAAAAGTTATACAACATTCCATCTAGTGATGATGCACATGTGTATCACGTTTCAATAGATTATCTTTAGTGGATCAGAAGTAAAGGTCCAGTCAAGCAAAGATCTTGTCTTAACTTTGACCGTGATTTATGACCTTGACCATGAAGCTGATGAAAAGTTAGGCAACTCTTTATCAAGTGGTGATTCACATGTGTATCAAGTTTCAATAGATTATCTTGAGTGGATCAGAAGTAAAGGTCCAGTCAAGAAAAGGTCTTGTCTTAACTTTGACCTTGATTTGTGACCTTGACACTAAATGTATAGTGTATGCAACTCTCCTTCTAGTAATGATGCATACATGCACAAAGGTTTGTTAAATGATCTTATGTATGTACGAACGGACTAATAGGTCTGCCTTTCGACAGGAGTATAATAAAAAGGTAAAATTAGCAAAACTTTAGCTGAGAGCTGAAATATGGTTAGAAGTAGCTATAAAATAGAGTTAGCAAACGAGTAGCTATAAACTAAAATTAGGAAAAGTGTAGCTAAAGGCTAAAAATAGCAAAACAACAGCCAAAAAAGTAAAATTTGCTAGATCCTAGGTAAACGCTAACAGGAGACATTTAGATATATGAAATGTTGATGTAACGCAAAGAAATCAATCCAAGAATAATTTAGCATTCACTCAATCTGTATATTTAAATAGCTATTCCACTTTTATGCAGTATTAAATGTCTTCCCTGAGGCTAAGTGAAAGAAATTTTGCAACATTCTCCACTCATACACTAAACTTATTAGATGAATGACAGTCGATGTGAATTCAGTAAAAAGTTAAGTGGGTGAAGTGGAAATAAATTGTTGGTAAATGTCCGTTAACTACAGCTCCTACCTACAAAAGAACTTTAAATTTGACACTTGACAGGTTTTTTTTTTTCCAACCTACATCAGAGAAAAGCCATCAACTGCCTTTAATTACAGCTTTCATCAGACAAATTTAATTGGAATGTGACGAGTATGCAGTGGTTCTAAAATGCCCACCTGCCCCTGTGGTGAACTGTCAACGGGGAGGAGGAAACACAAAACGGTGCACAACATTCATAAAACAGCCAAAATGGTTTAACTTCTGTGGCCTTATATGCTTTGGTTATTACCAATAAAAACAATCAAAAATAAAGACTCTATGACAAAGTAAGATGTATAAAATGAAACGCCTACGTCAGTATTAACCACCTCCTCTGACATCACAGGTTTTTAGCATATTTGTGTCCAAAGATCTAGTGAATATAAGCGCTTAAATCATACCAAAGTTTAGATTAAGATCATTGTGTGTTGAGAAAAGACTAAGTTGGAGCTGTTTTGCAGTCAAAACTTGAATATAATTAGAACCCGGCCAATATATCTGTAGGGTCGATAATTTAGGCCAATATACACGTTTGGGAACATATCGTATTGGTGATAATTGTCCCATTATGCGCCGATATAAGCACTTCTAATTTTCACCCCTAAAATGCTGTGAACCAGTTGTAATTGTACAAAGTATCCAGCAGAGGGCGCATGAAGACTATTTTCAAGTCATTGCCGTTCACTTAAGTTTCACTTTCATGTTCGGCACAGACGATGCAGGAAGCAATACTGTGTAGCGTAATTTAAAGAATAGAGCATGGTAAGTTTATTGTAACAAATCTGTAAAACAAATCAGCAATAATAAATTATCTTCAATCCTTCAACCTGCTTGTCATTAGCTACGTGCCTCTCAAGTTAGCATGCTAACATTTAGATCACCTAGCATAGGCTATTGCCGTACAAA